GGAATGGACAGCCAGGCTGTGAATTTCAATTTCTCTGCCTCCTTAAAGCTCTAAAAGACAGCAGCATCCTCTGGCTCCAGCCGGCACTCCCACCTCTGCCTTCCTTCTGGGCCGCACACACAGGTCCGGACACACGTGTAGGCAACATCCACACCTGCCCTTCTTCCCAACACAGTCGGCTTCTGTCCCTGGGTCTGGGGGTGCACACACCAGCCACACGGGCTTGGGGCTGATTGGACAGGGGGCCTGGGGTCTGTCAGAGTAAACTGGTCACTCTCACTGGAGACACGTTCCCAAAGCAGAGTCTCAGGCTCCGGAGGCAGCACGGAGGGGAGGAAGGGGAAATAGAAAGAGAGCTTGAGATTTGGGATTTGGCATTGGAACTCTGGCTCTGCCACATGCCTGCTGTGACTGTGGCCCAGGGAATTCCCCTCTGAGGTCCTATTTGCTCATCTGTGAAGCAGGGATGGCAGTTCCTGCCTGGGAAGGCTGCAGGGGGGAGTCAATGCGATAAGATCCACGCAAGGGTTCCTGCTTTGTTTGCAGACTGTTCGACTCCACGCTGACCAGCGTCTCTGAGAAGCCCTCTCTGTACCTCCAGACCCTTCAGCATCTTCTCCTGGACAGCAATGGCCAAACCCAGCTCGACCTGAGAGCACCTGAGCCCACAGCGGCAGGGGCTGTGCCTCCCACACCGCGGAACCCCAGCGCCTAGTACAGCGCCTGGCCCAGAGTAAGCAGCAATGGCTATCGGATTGGCTGAGTACACGAAGCTTTGTGTCTGCTCACCAGGCTTTCTGTCTGCTCCTGGGGTTCATCCAAGTCTATCACACATTCACCGAGGGCCTTCTGAGGGCCAAGCCCCAAGGTCCAGATGCTCAGTCACCGCACCAAGCCTCACAGAGCTCAATCTGGGGAGAGGGTCCACGTGGAAACGGGAACAGATGCCAACCGTGTGGTGCCTGCAGTAATGGAGGTGTCTGATTTGCTCCCCCCAAATGAAGGGCTGAGGGGCTGCCTCCTTGGTGACAGCAAGGGCTCCTGTATCCATGGTGACCCTCTCTCAAGAGGCCTGAGACTCTCGTGTGCCAGGCCTTCCCCTTCTCTGCCAGGGCTGGTTTTGGGGCCAGTGACTCCTTCCTGTCTGGTGGCAGAGCTTCCCCCACCCCGCCGCTCTCTTCAGCTGCACAGAGTGAGAAAAGAGAGGAACAAGAGGATTCAGCGTGTGACCTGCCCCCAGGAGACGGACACAAGAGCCCACACTGAACAGCCCACCAGGGAAACTCAGAACCACTCCGGTCCACACGGAAGCTCAAAAGAGAGCAAGCTGAGCTCTCAGACCTGGCAGAGCACAAAGCATGAAGGTTCTCGAGTCCAAAAGGCCTGGCTTTGAGTCCAGCACCAGCCCTGTGTCATCCTGGGCAGGCTTTGTCGCTTCCTGAGCCTTGGCTTCCTCACCTGGACATCAGAGATCATCTTAGAATCTACTCCTGGGGTTCACATCTGACATGAGACACAGCCCGCGACACCTCCCTGCGTCTCTGTCTCCCTCTCTCTCAGGCCCCTGGTGACCTCTCTGCTGGTGGGACGTCTGGCGGGGAGAGCCGTGGATGTGGGGTCAGACACATCCCAGGAACACGAACTGCTGGTACTGTCATCATTACTCCTCCTCCCCAGGCCGTGAATGGAGCCTGTCTGATTTCGTCTGCCCCGGCCCCCGAGGCAACTTACATTACCTAGCGCAGTCTTCCTTCACTACAGCCTGACTCGGGGGTGTTTTCTAGAAAGCAAGAGCCGCGAGCTTCTCTGTTTTCCTGCAATGCCCAGCGCAGGCTTCCTGCCAAGGAGCACCTGGGCAGCTCAGATGGGAAGGACTTGGAAATCATCCACTCTCTCTCAGTCTGCAAGGAGAAACCCTCCTTCCTGGCCTCCTCAAGCGCCCAAACGGCTCCGGGGGTGAGGTCCCTCATCCCTGCGGAAGGTGGACGGACGGTGCCCAGGACTCCGGGAGGCTGAGCTCCATGGAGTGAGCAGAAGCTGAGCAGGCAGCTGCTGGAGTTGGAGCTGGAGGGAACTCCCGGGGCCACCCCCAAGCCCTAGCAGCCCCCCCTGCCCTCCCGCTGAACGCTGATAATAGGAGTGGTTCTAATTATGCTCTAATTGCTTTCTTCCAGGCAGTTTCTCTGGAGCCAAGGAGTTCAGAGTTCATGAATAAATGAAGAGGGAGAAAGCGGGGAGGGGTGTTTATTGATCCACAAATCTCGACGGCCAGTGTCTGCCCCACAAATGCTTAGGCAGGGAGCTGTGTGCAGTTCTGCATACATACATTGAAACAACACAGCCCTTAGCTGGTTTGGCTCAATGGTAGAGCTTTGTTGGCCTAGGGACTGAAGGGTCCCAGGTTCGATTCCAGCCAAGGGCACATGCCTGGTTGCGGGCTCGATCCCCAGTAGAGGGCGTGCAGGAGACAGCCAATCAATGATTCTCTCACATCATTGATGTTTCTCTCTCTCCCTCTCCCTTCCTCTCTAATATCAATTATATATACAACATACACACCACAGCCCCCCAAGCCCTCTCCGAAGGACTGCTGGGAGTTAAAACGAAGGTTACAAGAATATCCTAAACTGGCTTTGGGTCCCAGCTCCAACTCTGCCACTGAATTGCACTGTGGTCTCGGGCAAATCCTAGTTTTCCGGGGTGTAGAGAGTGGGGGCGAAGGTAATGTCTGACAGCCCCTCTCAGAAAACCCGGATTTCAGGATGTCCATGGGAATCACCCAGCTCGACAGAACCCTGAGCAGGGCCGGGTAGGCACTGTCACCCTCTCCCTCAGGTTGCCCTTTCGCCCAGATGCCTCCTTCTCTAAGAACCGGCCAGGCAGCGGGGGGCTCCAGGGAAGCGGCGGGGGGAACACCTACACCTCCGTGCAGGCAGGACGCCTGGTGGGGAAGAGCAGGGGCTCTGGATGTTGATCTCTGCCCACCCGCTGTGAGGCCCTGGCCAAGGCCCTGAAGCTTCTTGAGCCTCAGTTGCTTCATCTGTTAAATGGGAATGACAGGCTATAAAGGTTATAAAGGTTCGCCCAGGTCACATAATGGCCTTAGCCAAGTGCCTGGCATATAGGAAGCATTTGGCAAGTGGTAGATAGATGTGATCGCTAATACTGTCAACAGTATTAGCTGCCAGGTTCAGAGTGGTGACTTCTTTACAGATGAAGAAACAAAGCATGGGTCAGGCAGCTTACCCAAATCACTAGGAAGTGGTAGGATTTGAACTCAAGTCCATCTGACCCCAAACCCTCTGTAGCCCAGTCTTATTTCTCCACTGTGTCTATCCCATCCCCAGGAGCTGGCACATAGTAGGTGTTTATAATAGCATGCCGAGTGACAGAAAAATGTAGGGGAAAAATTAGTTTAACAGGCTCTATTTCTAATGACCAAGGTAAGGGTGGGTTTATGGAGTTAGAATGAGGCCAACATTTCCTTCAAGGTCAAAGCAAAGTGCTGGGTCTGCTTCCTCAGTTGCTGGGGCCCGGGCAAGTGGGATATGGGGATCCTTGGTATGTGCTTGTAGAAGGAAATCTTTTTTTTTTCTTTTTAAAATATGTATTTCTTTATTGACTTCAGAGAGGAAGAGAGAGGGATAGAGAGATAGAAACATCACTGATGAAAAAGAATCATTGACTGGCTGCCTCCTGCACGCCCCCTACTGGGGATTGAGCCCACAACCTGGGCATGTGCCCTTGGCCAGAAATCGAACCTGGGACCCCCTTCAATCCACAGGCCAACGCTCTATCCACTGAGTCAAACCGGCTAGGGCTAGAAGGAAATATTTTTTTTAATTGATTTTACACAGAGAGGAATTGAGAGGGACAGAGAGCTAGAAACATCGATGATGAGAAAGAAACATCTACCAGCTGCCTCTTGCACACCCTCCACCGGGGATGTGCCCGCAACCAAGGTACATGCCCTTGACTGGAATCGAACCCGGGACCTTTCAGTCCGCAGGCCGACGCTCTATCCACTGAGCCAAACTGGTCCCGGCTTTTTTTTTTTTTTAATATATATTTTATTGATATTTTACAGAGAGGAAGGGAGAGAGATAGAGAGCTAGAAACATCGATGGTGAGAAAGAAACATCTACCAGCTGCCTCTTGCACCCCCCCCCACTGGGGATGTGCCCGCAACCAATGTACATGCCCCTGACCGGAATCGAACCCGGGACCTTTCAGTCCACAGACTGACGCTCTACCGCTGAGCCAAACCGGTTTCGGCAAGAAGGAAATTTTTTTACCCCTTCCCGACTTCCACTAAGAAGCCAAAGTCAGAAATCCCGGCTTTGGCATTCGCCAGAACCTGCTCTGCCACTGCCTTGCTGGGTGACTTTTGGCAAGTGACTTCGGTTCTCTGAGCCTCCGAGCCCTCACCTAGGACGTGGGGGTAGCAGCGGCCCACCTCGGGGGCTGCTGCGGAGGAGATACGCGATGACATGCGCAAGGCTGAATGTTAGGTTAGGAGGGGGGCCTGCAGTCCGATGGCCAGGCTTGCACCCCAGCACTGGCACTGCCTGCAGCCTCGGGTTCTGCTCCTGTAAAACTGTCACTAAATACGGGTGAAACCGTTACAACAGCAGGCAGTGTGCGTAAGTGCTCCATCAATCTCTATTAGGCTATGCCGTGTGCGGAGCCCGGGTTCATCTCACACCTGGGGAAACAGAGCCCCAGAGAGGTGTGAGGACTGGTCCAAGCCCCCAGAGCCAGCCCACGGCAGACCCAGGCCTCTGTAGGAACCTGCTGTAGGCAGGGCCCCGTCCAAACCTCAGCTTGCACGGATGACCACAAAAAGACCTTCTACACACCGGGGCCATCCTACTCAAGGCTTGAAGACTCTAGGAGGCGGGGGGTGCGGTGGAAACTCCCCTCTCCTGTCCTCCCTGGGGGCTCCAAGGCTGGCTTAAACCAGCAGGGTGTGTAGAGGGCAGGAAGGAGGACTGACCCACCTTCCTGGCCCACCTGGCTGGCCCCTCCGCTCCTGGGCTGGCTGCAGAGGCCTCAGAAACAATCCAGGGACCCGGACCGGAACACCATTTGTCAGCCCTGCATGGTGGTGACGGGCTCATCTCCATGGCAACAGTACAGTGTGAAGGCATCCTGGCATCATTAGGGAGCGCGCTGAGTAGTATAAACAGAGGCTGCAGTAGATTACACGCCTATTATGAGCAGTCTCGGGCTCTGAGCACTGGTAATTATGCCTAATTGTGCATTTAATTGTGTAATTGAAAACCCACATCTCTGGTTCCGGCTGGGGCTGCAGAACTTACCCCCCCTCTAAAAAGAGGAGGCTTAAGAATCATCCCTACCCTGAAAACCCCATGGCGGTCTCCCCTTCTAGGGAAAGTGGTACCCAGAATAGTCTCAGGGGAAAAGTGCATACAGACTCCCATGTCCCCCGTTTCCTGGGCCAGGTTCTGAGATTTGGGTTGGGAGGGGGTGGAGCATGCTTAAGGAAGGCAAAGGCAGATGGGAAGAGAGAAAGAAAAAAAATGCTCACAATTTTAATTATTCGTACTAGCTACCATTCTGTACTACTGCCATTGTCCTCTCAGACCCAGAACACATCTGGTGGCTCCAGGGGACCTGGGTCATCACTAGCTCCATTATGCATCCAAGTGGTCATCCAACTTACATATAAATTCCTAATCCCTGCCAGGGACAGGGAACTCACCACCCGATTGTCCGTCTACAATACTCTTTCCCCCATCCCCAGGGTCGCAGAGTGGAGAAAAGGAGGCTCAGAGAGAGGCAGGGCTAGCTCAAAGTTGCACAGCAAGCGAGTACGAGAACTGTGGGATTCTTGCCCTAACCGGTTTGGCTCAGTGGATAGAGCATTGGCCTGCGGATTAAAAGGTCCCAGTTTCGATTCCAGCCAAAGGCATGTACCTTGGTTGCAGGTACATCCCCAGCAGGGGATGTAGCAGGGGATGTGCAGGAGATAGCTAATTGATGTTTCTCTCTGATCGATGTTTCTAACTCACTCTCTCTCTTCCTCTCTGTAAAAAATCAATAAAATATATTTAAAAAAAAAAAAGAATTGTGGGATTCTGGCTTGTAGCTGAAAGCATTTTAAAAAAAAGATATGTTTTTATTGATTTCACAGAGAGGAAGGGATAGGGAGAGAGATAGATAGAAACATTAATGATGAGAGAGAATCATCGATCAGCTGCCTCCTGCACGCCCCCTATTGGAGATGGAGCTTGAAGCCCAGACATGTGCCCCTTCCGGGAAGAGAACTGTGACCTCCTGGTTCATGGGTTGACGTTCAACCACTGACCCACACCGGCAGGGCTGAGGGCACACTTTGTTCGTACCCGAAGGTGAATCAGCACGTAGGACTGTGCCCAGCACTTTGTGGGGTCTTCAGAAATAGTTGCTGAATGCAACTCCGGGCAGGGCTAAGGAGTGGCAATTCTTATTCTCTGACCCAACAGATACTTAGTTTTTTTGGAGTTCAGGAAGTTCACCAGTGGTGACCAGGGATTGGTGATGGGTCAGGTCCTCTTGCTCTGAACCTATGTGGTCTGAGACTTCATTTCACAACCAAACATACCATGTGGGCATTGGGGATGGGGACAGTATAAACCCTCGTTCCAACAGAAAGAGGAAAGATGATGTCACCTGAGTCCCTGACAATCTGACACCAGGTGTGAAGCCTGGAGCAGGCCATCAAAGGCAGGCATCTCCTCCTGTCTCCAGGGCCTGATACCCACTCTCCCACCCTCCGCCACTCCTGTCAGTCATGCTGCCTGCAGCAAGGTGGGCCGCTGTGGCAGCAGCTCTGATCTCCATCTGGGAAAGGCCGGACTCATGGAGGACGCAGAGCTGGAGTCCAACCTTCTCCCTCGACAGAAGGGGACACAGAGGGTCAACCTTTCTGACTCCCTCTGAGCGAGGGCCGGACTCTGTGCCCCCCCCCCTCCCTGCAGTATCTCGGCCACCCTTATGACAGTCCCCACATTACAGAAGAGAAAACCAAGGGACAGTCAAGGCCACGGCTACAAGATTCAGCAGAACCTCTGCTCCAACCTGGTCCTTCTACTGGTTGAAAGGGGATAGGTCCCACCTCCTTCCCCTCAGTATTGATTCACAGAGTCTGCTTTCTCATTTCCAGGGCACTTAACAGTGTGAACCCTTTGTGAGCTCCTACTCAGCATATCTTACCCCAGAGGAGCCTCTGTCAACTCTCTGGGGCGGGTTATTACTATCCTGCCTGGCAGGTGGCTCAGCTGGTTAGAGCGTTGTCCTGTTATGTCAAGGTTGCGGGTTTGATCTCCGGTCAGGACACATGCAAGAAGCAACCAATGAATGCACACACAAGTGGAACAGCAAATCAATGTTTCTCTCTCTTTCTCAAATCAATAACAGTTAAACAAGATGATTACTATCCTGATTTAGAGAAATGCAGGAGGAAGCTCAGAGAGGTTAAGTGTCTTACCCAAGGTCACCCAGCTACAAAGAAGTAGGGGTAAAATTCAAACCCCAGCCTGACCCCAAAGCCCAAGCTCTTCCCAACCTCCCTGACCCAGGGCTCTCCAGCTGTTTGAGAGGCAGGGGTCAGGAGGCCAGGAAAACCCATTAAACCTGCAACCTCAGATGCAGCCCTTCTGCCACCCTAGTGTTTGCTGGCAGAAGTATGTCTCAGGGAGCCTTGGTTTGCTACCTGAGACTCTTCCTGTCTCCGAATCATCATCCCTCTCCCTTTCCTCACCAAGGAGGGAGGCCAAGGGCCCTGGGACTGGGATTCCCAGGACCAAAGCCAGCTCCACTTCCTGTGGCCTGGAACTAGCTTTGAGAAAACACATCTCTAGTCTAAGCCTGCTCTGCCTGCACCCACCCCTCCCTGAAGGAGATGTCAATGATCAGAGCTCGGTTCAGATTTTACAACCGTCTTCACATCCTTTCCCCTGATCACTCATCTGAAGCCCAGACTGCATCTTGTTTCCCTGGCAACAAGTCACTTCTTTCTTTTGAGCCTCAGTATGCCAATCAGTGAACGGGTATAAAAACACTATCTACCTGCTCTTCCCTGGCGCTGCCTACGGAGGCGGCAGCCATCTCCTACTCGGCACCACGGCTGCCCTCAGACCCCTCGTAAAACCCAAGATTGTCAAAAGGAGGACCAAGAAGTTCATCCGGCACCAGTCAGACCGATATGTCAAAATGAAGCGGAACTGGCAGAAACCCAGAGGCATTGACAATAGGGTGCGGAGAAGGTTCTAGGGCCAGATCTTGATGCCCAACATTGGTTATGGGAGCAACAAGAAAACAAAACACATGCTGCCCAGTGGCTTTCAGAAGTTTCTGGTCCATAACTTCAAGGAGCTTGAAGTGCTGCTGATGTGCAATAAGTCTTACTGTGCTGAGATTGCTCCTCCAAGAACATCTCCTCCAAGAACCACAAAGCCATGTGGAAAGAGCGGCCCAGATGGCCATCAGAGTTACCAATCCCAATGCCAGGCTGCGCAGCAAAGAAAATGAATAGACAGATTGTGTACACATTGTATTTGTGTTAATAAAATCATAAAATTCTGAAAAGAAAAAAAAAAAAAACACAAAAAAAAACAACAGTATCTACCTGCCGAAACTGGTTTGGCCCAGTAGATAGAGCGTCAGCCTGCGGACTAAAAGGTTCGAGGACGTCACAAAGCAAGGGTTCGATTCCGGTCAAGGGCATGTACCTTGGTTGTGGGCACATCTCCAGTAGGGGGTGTGCAGGAGGCAGCTGATCAATGTTTCTCTCTCATCCATGTTTCTTTTTTTTCTTTCTTTTTTAACATATTTTATTGATTTTTTTCAGGGAGGAAGGGAGAGAGATAGAGAGCTAGAAACGTCGATGAGAGAGAAACATCGACCAGCTGCCTCTTGCACACCCCCTACCGGGAATGTGCCCGCAACCAACATACATGCCCTTGACCGGAATCAAACCCGGGACCTTTCAGTCCCCAAGCCGACGCTCTATCCACTGAGCCAAACTGGTTTCGGCTCTCTCATCCATGTTTCTAACTCTCTATCCCTCTCTCTTCCTCTCTGTAAAAAAAAAAAAAAATCAATAAAAAATATATTTTAAAATCTTTATTAAAAAATAATATCTACCTTATACAGTTCTTATGAAGGCTGATAAGTGTTCAATACCGGTCAATTCTTCCCTGGGTAACTTTTTCTCAACCTCCATCATAGTATCCTGAAACCCAACACTAGCATTGGGATGAATAGAAATAGGGACAGGGATGGGGTTTGTGGAGCATTTGAATAAGCAGCTCAGAATATCGTGTATCTAGTAATGCATGCATCGAGGAAGGATTTAGATTTCCCCATCGCCTTCCACATCCAGCGTCCCACAGGCTTACAGGGGGAGCAATGGGCATGCAAGGTACAGGCTAGGAGTCCCAGGTCTGGGTTTGAATCCTCATTCTGTCTCTACTGTACATGTGGCCATGAATTAGCTAGAGAGTAACAAGAGACAGGTATACCAGCAGACACCAAACAAAAAGGTGGTTATTATTGTTACTGTTATTTCTGCTGAACAATACACTTTCCAGATAAGGAAACTAAGACTTGAAGCGTTTATGGGCATGACTCCGACCACTACATCTCTAATGCAGGCAGAGAGGGGACAGAAGTGAGGTGTCCAAGCCTCAGGCAAATAAGAGCTGGCCACCGGGACCACGTCCCCTCGGCAGGGCACTGTGCCATTCGGGCACTGTCTCATGGAATGCCCCAAACTGCCACGGGGTAGGAGCTGTTGTTCTGACTGCTTTATAGGAGCGAGGCTGAGGCTCAGAGAGGGTAAGAGGGGCTTTCTGGACGTCACAAAGCAAGGCAGCAATGACTGGCCCACTGGGGATGTACCCACAACCAAGGTACATGCCCTTGACCAGAATCGAACCTGGGACCCTTCGTCCGCAGACCAACGCTCTATCCCCTTAGCCAAACCGGATAGGGCTCTGTGCCAGATTTTAGAGTGGCTGCCATTTATGGGGGGGCTTATCTGAAATAATCACCCACACACCCTGCAAAGGAGCAAACCAGGGCCATCCTCAGTCCCACTGAGGTCCCCCCTTCTCCATTTCACCCTGCTCTGCCAACATCATAGGGTCTTGGGAACTGTTTGTCCT